CCCTGCTATATGCCTGTGAGACGTGGACTGTCTACAGATGTCCCATGCAACTCAACAGCATTGCCTCCAAAAAATCCTGCAACTCTCTGGGGAAAACAAGCGGACAAATGTCAGCATGCTGGAAGAATCAAAGACCACCAGCATTGAAGCGATGGTCCTCCACCATCCACTCCGCTGGATTGGCCACATTGTCCGGATGCTCGACCACCGTCTCCCAAAGGAGTTGCTTTACTCCGAACTCAAGAACAGAAAATGGAATGTTGGTGGACAGAAAAGAGATTTAAAGAAGGGCTCAAAGCCAACCTTAAAAACTCTGGCATAGACACTGAGAACTGAGAAGCCGTGGCCCTTGAGTGCTCCAGCTGGAGGTCAGCTGTGACCAGCAGTGCTGCAGAATTTGAAGAGACTCGAGTGGAGGGTAAAAGAGAGAAATGTGCCAAGAGGAAGATGCGTCAAGCCAACCCCGACTGGGACCGCCTGAAAAGCGATGCCCTCACTGTGGGATAAGCTGCAGATCAAGAATAGGGCTGCACAGTCACCTACGGACCCACCACCAGGATACTACACTTGTAGGACCATCATCCTCAGACTACAAGGGATTGCCTAAATAAGTAAGTAAATAAGTAAGTAATGGTCCAGTTCAATGTCCAAAGTGCCATTATGCCTGCTAGCCCAAAGCCTGGTTCCAAAACCACGATTTCAATTTTTTCCTAAAGGAAAGCAGGATGCCAATCAATCTAGCTGGGGAGCAAATTACACAAGCAGGGGGTCACCACCGAGAAGGCCCTGTCTGTTGTCCCCACCAGACAAGTTTGCAAAGCTGGTGAGACCGAGAGCAGGGCCTCTCCGGTGGATCTTAAACTACGAGGCGGAATATAGAGGGAGATACGTTCTGACAAGTAAGCTGGGCCGGAGCCGTATAGGGTTTTATAGGTCGAGACCAGCACTTTGAATTGTCCTCAAAAATGGACTGGCAGCCAGTGGAGCTGCCATAGATAGATAGATAGATAGATAGATAGATAGATAGATAGATAGACAGACAGACAGACAGACAGACAGACAGACAGACAGACAGACAGACAGACAGACAGACAGATAGATATTGATATACCAGAGCCCCAAACCTGGCTACAAGGGAAAGGTGTTTACTGCCTTCTCTCCAAGCTGTGGAGGAGAACTGCAGCAGAGGCGCCTCCTTCCAACACCGGGAACCTCCAAAGCCAGAAGAAGCCCTAGAAGAGAAGGGCCTTCCTTCCTCCCTTCTCCTGAAAGACGAGTCCTGCTTCCACCAAGACAGGAAGACAGGCTGTCAGGCAGGCTTTCCACCAAGACAACTCAGCCCCAAAGCTTGAGGTTCCCCTCCCCTCCCTCCATTCCTTTCTCCGTGTGTCCTTTCCCCTTCCAAGGAGCACAAGAGGGAGAGCGAGGAGAAGCCTCCGTCCATCTGCTGGGGGAATGCAATTTGCTGGAATCCGGAATGTGCCCCTGGATCGGTCTCTCCCCTTCCTTTTCCTTTGGTGGCTCAGAGACCTCCTTCTTCCTCAAGGCCTCCTCTCAGAAACCACTCATCCTTCGGGCAACACAATGGGTTCCCTCTCCACAAACACATGGATAGATAGCTAGATCTACATGGATAGATAGTTCCACAAATACATTGATAGATAGATAGATAGATAGATAGATAGATAGATAGATAGATAGATAGATAGATAGATAGATATGGATATGCCAGGACCACCAACCTGGCTGCAAGGGAATTGTGTTTACAGCCTACTCTCCAAGCTGTGGAGGAGAACCACAGAAGAGGTGCCTCCTTCCAACACCAGGAGGAACCAGAAGAAGCCCTAGAAGAAAAGGGCCTGCCTTCCTTCCTTCTTTCCTTCCTCCCCTCTTTTGAGAGACAGGCCCGGCTTCCAGGCTCAAGCACTCTCCACCAAGACAAAAAGACCCCCACAACCCCAAAGCTTGAGGTTCTCCACCTCCCTCCCTCCCTCCCTCCCTCCCTCCCTCTTCCTTCTTTCCTTCCTTCTCCCGAGAAACAAGCCTGGCTTCCAGGCTCGGGCAGATTCTCCACCAAGACAAGAAGACCACCTCAGCCCCAAAGCTTGAGATTCTCCACTTCCCTGAAGCCCTAGAAGAGAAAGGCCTTCCTTCCTTCTCCTGAGAGACGGGCCCGGCTTCCAGGCTCGGGCAGACTCTCCACCAAGACAAGAAGACCTCCTCGGCCCCAAACCTTGAGGTTCTCCACCTCCCTCCCTCCCTCTTCCTTCTTCCTTCTCCTGAAAGACAGGCCCTGCTTCCAGGCTCAGGCAGGCTCTCCACCAAGACAGGAAGACCACCTCGTCCCCAAACCTTGATGTTCTCCACCTCCCTGAAGCCCTAGAAGAGAAGGGCCTTCCTTCCTTCCTTCTTTCCTTCCTCCCTTCTCCTGAGAGACAGGCCCTGCTTCCAGGCTCGGACAGACTCTCCACCAAGACAAGAAGACCTCCTCGGCCCCAAAGTTTGAGGTTCTCCACCTCCCTGAAGCCCTAGAAGAGAAGGGCCTTCCTTCCTTCTTTCCTTCCTCCCTTCTCCTGAGAGACAGGCCCTGCTTCCAGGCTAAGGCAAGCTCTCCACCAAGACAAAAAGACCTCCTCAGCCCCAAACCTTGGGGTTCTCCACCTCCCTCCTCCCTCCCTCCCTCTTCCTACTTTCCTTCCTTCCTTCTCCTGAAAGACAGGCACGGCTTCCAGGCTCGGGCAGACTCTCCACCAAGACAAGAAGACCTCCTCGGCCCCAAACCTTGAGGTTCTCCACCTCCCTCCCTCCCTCTTCCTTCTTTCCTTCCATCTCCTGAGAGACGGGCCCTGCTTCCAGGCTCGGGCAGACTCTCCACCAAGACAAGAAGACCACCTCAGCCCCACAGCTTGAGATTCTCCACTTCCCTGAAGCCCTAGAAGAGAAAGGCCTTCCTTCCTTCTCTTGAGAGACGGGCCCTGCTCCCAGGCTCAGGCAGGCTTACACCAAGACAGGAAGACCTCCACAACCCCAAAGCTTGAGGTTCTCCTCCTCCCTCCCTCCCTCTTCCTTCTTTCCATCCTTCTCCTGAGAGACAGGCCCTGCTTCCAGGCTTGGGCAAGCTCTCCACCAAAACAGGAAGACCACTTCTGCCCCAAACCTTGAGGTTCTCCACCTCCCTCCCTCCCTCTTCCTTCTTTCCTTCCATCTCCTGAGAGACGGGCCCTGCTTCCAGGCTCGGGCAGACTCTCCACCAAGACAAGAAGACCACCTCAGCCCCACAGCTTGAGATTCTCCACTTCCCTGAAGCCCTAGAAGAGAAAGGCCTTCCTTCCTTCTCTTGAGAGACGGGCCCTGCTCCCAGGCTCAGGCAGGCTTACACCAAGACAGGAAGACCTCCACAACCCCAAAGCTTGAGGTTCTCCTCCTCCCTCCCTCCCTCTTCCTTCTTTCCATCCTTCTCCTGAGAGACAGGCCCTGCTTCCAGGCTTGGCAGGCTCTCCACAAAGACAGGAAGACCACCTCAGCCCCAAACCTTGAGGTTCTCCATCTCCCTCCCTCCCTCTTCCTTCTTCCCTTCCTTCTCATGAGAAACGGGCCCTGCTTCCAGGCTCGGGCAAGCTCTCCACCAAGACTGGAAGACCTCCTCGGTCCCAAACCTTAAGGTTCTCCACCTCCTTGAAGCCCTAGAAGAGAAGGGCCTTCCTTCCTTCCTTCCTTCCTTCCTTCCTTCCTTCCTCCCCTCTCTTGAGAGACAGGCCCGGCTTCCAGGCTCAAGCACTCTCCACCAAGACAAGAAGACCTCCTCGGCCCCAAAGCTTGAGGTTCTCCACCTCCCTGAAGAAGAGAAGGGCCTTCCTTCTCCTAAGAGACGGGGCCCTGCTTCCAGGCTCTGGCAGACTCTCCACCAAGACAGGAAGACCTCCACAACCCCAAAGCTTGAGATTCTCCACTTCCCTGAAGCCCTAGAAGAGAAGGGCCTTCCTTCCTTCCTTCTCCTGCCAGACGGGCCCTGCTTCCAGGCTCAGGCAGGCTCTCACCAAGACAGGAAGACCTCCAGCCCCAAAGCTTGAGGTTCTCCTTCCTTCCTTCCTTCCTTCCTTCCTTCCTTCCTCCCCTCTCTTGAGAGACAGGCCCGGCTTCCAGGCTCAAGCACTCTCCACCAAGACAAGAAGACCTCCTCGGCCCCAAAGCTTGAGGTTCTCCACCTCCCTGAAGAAGAGAAGGGCCTTCCTTCCTTCTCCTAAGAGACGGGGCCCTGCTTCCAGGCTCGGGCAGACTCTCCACCAAGAGAGGAAGACCTCCTCAGCCCCAAACCTTGAGGTTCTCCACCTCCCTCCCTCCCTCCCTCTCTTTCCCTGGACGTCCTTTCCCTTTGCTAGCAAGGAGCGCAAGGCAGGGAGTGCGAGGAGAAGCCTCCATCCATCTGCTCGGAGAATGCATGACGGTGCATATCGGGGCTTGTTATTCACCAGGCGAGGCATCACCCTCTTCTTCCTCTTCCTCCTCCGCCCCCTCTTCCCCCCAATGTGATTCCTTGGGCCCCACACTGAGGCGAACCGAAAGAGAAGGCGGTCACACGATGCCACGAAAGGCAGAGAGAATTGAGAGACCCTCCGCGTCGCCCCTCTGGACCCCCCAGACAAGCCAGGCTCCCCCCTGGCTCCCTTCGGAGGAGACCAGGCCCCCCAAGAGCCCGGCCAGACGCACCCCGAGACCCCTTTCCTCGTCCTCGCTTCCCCCCATGTGATTCCTTGGGCCCCGCACTGAGGCGGACCAAAAGAGAGGGCGTCCACACGATGCCACGAAAGGCAAAGAGATTGAGAGGTGAGGGTCCCCCCGACAAGGCTGGCTCCCTTCGGAGGAGGCCAGGCCCCCCAAGAGCCCGGCCAGGCGCATCCCGAGACCCCTTCCCCGGTCCCCGCCTTGCGCCGCATCCACCCCTTCCCCTCCCCGCCGCAGTCTTCTTCCTTCCCCTTCCCCTTCCCCTTCCCCTTTCCTACCTTTGCCTTCCATGGTGGGAAGTTGCGGCGAACTTTCAGGGTGGCGGCTGGAATAGCAAGGCTCTTCCTCCTCTTCCTCTTCCTCCTCCTCCTCTGCCCCCTCCGCTCTGCTCCAGCCTGAAGCTCCCTCCTTTTACCTTTTCCTCTTTCCTTCCTTCTTCCTTTCTTTCCTTCCTCCTGCAAGCTAAAGAGAGGGAGGGCGTGAGACAAGTGGGGAAGGAAGGAAGGAAGGAAGCAAGCAACCAAGAGGAGGAGGAAGAGGAGGAGGAGGAGGAAGAGGGGCCCTTACCTGGCGCTGTCCGGCGTCTGCGGTGCTGCAGCTCCGACTGCCCTCGCTCCTCGCCTCCCTGCCTCCTTCTCGGCCACAAGGGCGCATGCGCGGGGGAAGCCACACCCCTTCGGACCCCCCCCCCCCTTTCCTCCCTGCCGCCTGCGGGTATTCAAGGAGGGAAAGCCCGGCCTGGATTTATAAGGACGGGAGGGTGTTGCTCCCCGCCCCGAGGAGCCACCTGAGAGTCATTCCTTTCCTAGCTTGCCAGGTTAACTCTCTGAAACTCCATCAGTGCTTAGTTTGCCATGTTGGGCAAGTTTGCTCTAGGTGCAGCATTTGGCAGCACCCAGATGGGCGCTAGAAACAACATCATACGAAAGCTGACTGGCACAACCTGGGGATCACAACCAGACACAGTGAAGACATCTGCCCTTGCGCTATGCTACTCTGCTGCTGAGTACGCATGCCCAGTGTGGAACACATCTCACCACGCTCAAACAGTGGATGTGGCTCTTAATGAGACATGCTGCATTATCACGGGGTGTCTGCGCCCCACACCACTGGAGAAATTACACTGCTTAGCCAGTATTGCACCACCTGACATCTGCCGGGAAGTAGCAGCCAATAGTGAAAGGACCAAGGCAGAGACATCTCCAGCTCATCCCCTGTTTGGGTATCAGCCAGCACGTCAATAACTTAAATCAAGACATCATTTTCTAAGATCTACAGAGACACTCGCTGGAACACCCCAGCAAGCAAGAGTCCAAAAGTGGCAGGCCCAAAACCAGCACCTCAATCCATGGGTGATACCAGATGAGAGACTCCCCCCTGGGCACACAGAGGACTGGGCAACTTGGAAGGCGCTGAACAGACTGCACTCTGGCACCACGAGATGCAGAGCCAACCTTCAGAAATGGGGATACAAAGTGGAATCCACGACATGAGAGTGTGAAGAAGAGCAAACCACTGACCACCTGCTGCAATGCAACCTGAGCCCTGCCACATGCACAAGGGAGGACCTTCTTGTGGCAACACCAGAGGCACTCCAAATGGCCAGAGACTGGTCAAAGGACATTTAACCAACTACCAAGTTTGCAAAATCTGTGTGTTTTTTTCTTTTTCTTTTTAATCTGTGTATTTGTTTTGCTCTGTTAGAATTGTAATACAATGGTATGGTTGCTGATGACAATATATATATATATATATATATATATATATATATATATATATATATCTGGCAGCAGGGTGAACTACAACTCCCACCATCGTGAGTCAGTCCCCTCAAACCCCTATTGTTTATTTATTTAATTATTTATTTATTTTTGGGCAAAGTCCTGGAACGTGTGGTGGCCTCACAACTCCAGGTATCCTTGGAAGACATGCATTATCTGGACCTGTCACAGTCTGGCCTTAGGCCGCGACATGGAACCAAGACAGACTCCATCACCTTAGTGGATGATCTGCGCCAGGAGCTGGACAAGGGGAGTGTGTCCCTGTTGGTTCTGCTGGACCTCTCAGCGGCCTTCGATACCGTCAACCATGATATCCTTCTGGGACGCCTCGTGGAAATGGGCCTTGGAGGCACTGTTTTCCAGTGGGTCTGGTCCTTGCTAGAGGGTTGTACCCAGAAAGTGTTGTTCGGAGACACCTGCTCAACCCCACAACCATTGTCTTGTGGAGTCCCGCAGGGTTCTATACTGTCCCCCATGCTGTTTAACATCTACATGAAGCTGTTGGGGGAGATCATCTGGAGTTTTGGGGTGTGGTGTTATCTGTATGCAGATGATGTCCAACTCTGTCACTCCTTCCCATCCGCTACTAAGGAGGCTGTCCAGGTCCTGAACCGGTGCTTGGCCGCTGTGTCAGACTGGATGAGGGCAAACAAATTGAAATTGAATCTAGACAAGACAGAGGTCCTCCTGGTCAGTCACAAGGCCAAACAGGGCATAGGGTTACAGCCTGTGTTAGACGGGGTTCCACTCCCCCTGAAGACGCAGGTTCGCAGCTTGGGAGTGATAGAATCATAGAATCAAAGAGTTGGAAGAGACCTCCTGGGCCATCCAGTCCAACCCCTTTATGCCAAGAAGCAGGAAAATTGCCTTCAAAGCACCCCTGACAGATGGTCATCCAGCCTCTGTTTAAAAGCTTCCAAAGAAGCTTTTTTCGATAGAGTTACAAGCTGGGTAGATGTGGGGAATGCCGTGGATGTGGCGTACCTGGATTTCAGTAAGGCCTTCGACAAGGTCCCCCATGACTTTCTGGCAAGGAAACTAGTCCAATGTGGGCTAGGCAAAACTACGGTGAGGTGGATCTGTAATTGGTTAAATGGACGAACCCAGAGGGTGATTCTCCCCAATGCTTCCTCTTCATCCTGGAAAGAAGTGACGAGTGGAGTGCTGCAGGGTTCCGTCCTGGGCCCGGTCCTGTTCAACATCTTTATTAATGACTTAGATGAAGGGCTAGAAGGCAGGATCATCAAGTTTGCAGACGACACCAAATTGGGAGGGAAAGCCAATACTCCAGAGGACAGGAGCAGGATTCAAAACGATCTTGACAGATTAGAGAGATGGGCCAAAACTAACAAAATGAAGTTCAACAGGGACAAATGCAAGATACTCCACTTTGGCAGGAAAAACGAAATGCAAAGATACAGAATGGGGGATGCCTGGCTCGAGAGCAGTACGTGTGAAAAAGATCTTGGAGTCCTCGTGGACAACAAGTTAAACATGAGCCAACAATGTGATGTGGCGGCAAAAAAAGCCAATGGGATTTTGACCTGCATCAAGAGGAGCATAGTGTCTAGATCCAGGGAAGTCATGCTACCCGTCTATTCTGCTTTGGTTAGACCACACCTGGAATATTGTGTCCAATTCTGGGCACCACAATTCAAGAGAGATATTGACAAGCTGGAATGTGTCCAGAGGAGGGCGACTAAAATGATCAAGGGTCTGGAGAACAAGCCCTATGAGGAGCGGCTTAAGGAGCTGGGCATGTTTAGCCTGAAGAAGAGACGGCTGAGAGGAGATATGATAGCCATGTATAAATATGTGAGAGGAAGCCACAGGGAGGAGGGAGCAAGCTTGTTTTCTGCTTCCTTGGAGACTAGGACGCGGAACAATGGCTTCAAACTACAAGAGAGGAGATTCCATCTGAACATTAGGAAGAACTTCCTGACTGTGAGAGCCGTTCAGCAGTGGAACTCTCTGCCCCGGAGTGTGGTGGAGGCTCCTTCTTTGGAAGCTTTTAAGCAGAGGCTGGATGGCCATCTGTCAGGGGTGATTTGAATGCAATATTCCTGCTTCTTGGCAGAATGGGGTTGGACTGGATGGCCCATGAGGTCTCTTCCAACTCTTTGATTCTATGATTCTATGATCTCCTTCTTGGGTTGCCTTTCTCCTTTCTTTTGAACTATGAACCCCACCGTTACCACCAAATACCCACGGAAAATGTCACTCTCCATCTTACGCATTGTCTGTTCCGGCCCCACTTACCTCTCCGAACGCATCTCCTCCTACGAACCGGGAAGAGCGTTAAGATCTTCCGGGGAGGCCCTGCTCTCGGTTCCGCCGGCGTCACAAGTGCGGCTGGCGGGCACGAGAGACAGGGCCTTCTCGGTGGTGGCCCCTCGGCTATGGAATGCGTTACCGGTGGACATCAGGCAGGCCCCTTCGTTACTGGTGTTTCGGAGGAGGGTGAAGACGTGGCTCTACGAGCAGGCTTTCGGCAACTAACTCAATAATGACGGCATCGGACAAGGAATGGAAAAAGAATCTTGAGATCGGAATCTGATTCTAAGTGTGGCGTTGATGATTATGTGTTTGTCTGTATTGTGTGTCTCATACATTGTTTAGTGTTGCTTTTTATTGTAAACCGCATTGAGTCGCCGCCTCAGGCTGATATATGCGGTATACAAATAGAGTAAATAAATAAATAATACAAGGATTTTCAACACACAAGAGAGAAAAAAATCCACTAAAAATCCGGTTTCTGCCTCCTGCAGAATTCTGGGGTTTGTAGTTCAGTGGGGCTGTTAAAGGCTCCTCCCTAAACTACAAACTTCAAAATTCTGCAAGTGTGAGTTGGAAGAGACCTCGTGGGCCATCCAGTCCAACCCCATTCTGCCAAGAAGCAGGAAAATTGCCAAAGCACCCCTAACAGATGGCCATCCAGCCTCTGTTTAAAAGCTTCCAAAGAAGGAGCCTCCACCACACTCCGGCAGAGAGTTCCACTGCTGAACGGCTCTCACAGTCAGGAAGTTCTTCCTCGTGTTCAGATGGAATCTCCTCTTGTAGTTTGAAGCCATTGTTCCATTGCGTCCTAGTCTCCAAGTTCGCTCCCTCCTCCCTATGATCCTCTCACATATTTATACATGGCTATCATATCTCCTCTCAGCCTTCTCTTCTTCAGGCTAAACATGCCCAGCTCCTTAAGCCGCTCCTCATAGGGCTTGTTCTCCAGACCCTTGATCATTTGAGTCGCCCTCCTCTGGACACATTCCAGCTTGTCAATATCTCTCTTGAATTGTGGTGCCCAAAATTGGACACAATATTCCAGGTAAAGTGGTCTAACCAAGGCGGAATAGAGCATGGGGAGCATGACTTCCCTGGATCTAGACACTAGGCTCCTCTTGATGCAGGCCAAAATCCCATTGGCTTTTTTTGCCGCCACATCACATTGTTGGCTCATGTTTAACTTGTTGTCCACGAGGACTCCAAGATCTTTTTCACACGTACTGCTCTCGAGCCAGGCCTCATTGTCCCCCATTCTGTATCAGGGGAGAATGAGGCTGCAAAACGCAGGAGAGGGGCCAGAGCAGACGCCTCTTGCTGACTGCTCTTTCCATCCACCTTGCATGACTTTGCTCAAAAGTTTTGAGTGTTGCCATTGAGGCAGATAGTGCTCCTGTTAGGCTCGCAGCCTCAGAACCCGGCAATACCCTCCACCGTCATTCTGATATCGAGCCCTTTTTTGGGGGTTCTCCCAGCGAGGGGAGTCCCTGAGGACCGCGAAAGGGGTCCTATACCTTGGTGAGCGGCCAGCGGATGCCAATTCGAAAAGCGCGAAACCGTTGAAAATCAATCTCACCAGAGGCTGAAG